ATTTTCTAAAACAGGGGTGTTCAATGTTTTCCAGGCCAAGGACCCCCAAACTGATGGCGGGATGGAGCGGGGACCACCTAATTATGTATACTGTATGAAATTTTGTTATATCAAACTGGTCCTATAGTCACTCTGTTATATATGGATTAATTTAATGAAAGTAATTTTATTAAAGTATTTCTGATTCTGATTCCTGGTTGATAGGACAGGTGTTGTTAATGAAACGGTGCCCAGCTTGAAAGAGCTCCTGTGTGTCGCTGAATGTGAGCATTGATGATTGAAATACATCTTCTGCCTCCATTTATCTGTTTACTACAGTGTGTTAAATTCCTGTTAATGTGTATTTAAAGATATTTCAATTAGTGGAAAAAAATGCAGGGGGGAATATAAAAAAAAGTCTAATCAACCAAAACTTTCACAACCCCTATACAGTACCTCCGTGGACCCCTTAGGGGTCGCGGACCCCTGTTGAAGACCTCCATTCTAAAACATCTAGAAATTCATTTTGTCGACTACATTTAGTATAGATGACGTATTAAATTAATATAGGAGTCTTTAATGTGACTAAAACCTTAGATTTTAGTAAAAAAAAAAAAAAAAAAAATAAAACAGTTTCAGATCAATCTAATGACACGTTGAAGGCCTTTCGCATCAGGTAGGTTTAGGTAACTGTTAGGGCTGTGCGATATGGATTCATAATCTAATCTCCTATTTATTTTCCTATCAAATCTGATTAACTGAATTTTTTACTTCTCTTATTCCCTCTGCAACGTGATCTTATTTCAAAGGGCAACAAAATTCAAGCAGTAAAAGAATCATATTTCAACAAACAAGGAGAATAAAGACAGTTGCAGTTCATGTAGTTACAGAGTGAGCCATTTTATCAGTTATGAGTATACATCAATAGACAAAAAGTGATGAACTGATGTAAAGTGTGTAAGCTAAAGGATTCCTTAATGGAAAAAAAAAAATCTTAAGTTTTGCAAAAATTTAATTTTTATAAAAAGAAAATTGGATTAATCAACATGATCAATTAATCGCTCTGTCCTAGTCCTAGTTAACTATAAAGGATGCTGTTAGACAGAAAGGTTTGGTTTAAATGAATAGAAGTCGATGCATTTTAAAGACAAGAATGTAGACGTGTGTTTGAGGGTGTCTCACTCTGTACTCTTGGATTCTGCGTTTGGACTCATCCAGCTGGTGCTGCAGGTCCCGGACGATCTCTCTGTATTTAACGTAGCGCTGCTCTACAAACTCCTTCTGCTGCTGTGATTCCTAAACAAACCCAACAGAAGCCGTCATCTTAACCAAACAGACATGAGGCTCTGCTTCTTTTAAACACAGAATATAAAACAGATGATAAAGATGATCCATATGGATCTGATCTCAACATACTGTACCTCCAAATCTTTGAAGTCCTCCATTAGACATTTTTTCTCAGGAAGTGATTCCAGGTGTTCCAGCGCCACTCTTGTGCTCTGCTCAAACAGACACTCTAAATCAGTCTGATAGGAAGGGATTTCAAGGAAACAGAATCCATTCATTTTCACATATTTGGATCTGAATCGTGTAATTAAGAGATAAGAAATGCAAAGCTTTAGAAATCATCTGAAAACGATCCAGCTGTTATTCAACATACATCATAAGTTTAATAAAAAATATGATGTTTAATAATGGCTCTAAGGGTACCAAAGGAAATCTAAAAATCAGACACAAACACCTGGAAAGACGAGTGGAGAGGATGGAATAATCAAAGGCCGTGAAATGAGATTGTTCAAGGTTCACATTAAAACGAGATAACTTCTGACAGCTGCACGCTCCGATGAGATATTTATGGCTGTTGTTACTTTGCGGAGTCAACTGGCAGCTTAATAAAAGGACGTAAAGCTAAGAGTCCAAATCTGACTGTTGGCAGGACTGTTCTGTAGATTTTATACCTTCATATTTTACTGTTTCATATATTCCAGCCCAGGGGGTTTGCAACCTGAAAGAGCCATTTTGTCCTGAGTCCAGCTAAATTAAAAGTCATTTTGAGTGATAAAATACTGCATCATTTTTTGATACAAAGACAACTTATATTTTTGATAAACGTCTGTTATAGGAAATCAGTTGCGATCTCTAACAACCAACAGATTATTTGTATTGTTTTGCTCAGATTCATAAAACTGAAGCAGGGATTTTCTTCTATAGGATATTATTTTGTGTAATAAAATCAATAATAATAAACATAATTTCCAATCAAATTAAGATTGATTAAGAAAAAAAATCTCTAGTGCTTTTAATATAAATTTTTATGTGAAAATTCAATTCAAATATCCTTTATAAAAGCCACTAAAGCTTCTAAGCCTGGTATTTGTTATAGTACATTAGTTAGTTCTTTATATCATTTTAGCCACCATTAAGAGCCATTGTAGAGGGCCCAGAGAGCCACATACAGCCCTGAAGCCACAGGTTGCAGACCCCTGAGCTGAGTGTTGTGGAAAGATCAGGTACTCTAACAGTAAATGAAAAGCTTGTTTTTGTTGGACTGTGCGCTGGTTTTTATTTAACAGATATTTGGCAGTGATTTTAGCTTTAGAAAAAGTTTATAGTTTTGCTAAGAAATACTGCTTTACCTACACACATTCAGGGAACAACAATTATCTAGAACATCCATTGATAATTGAATACCGCTATTTTGTCTAAAGTGTTTAATATAATGTAAAAGTCTTGATTCATCTCTAATATCTTCCAATTCTTTCTCTTAGAAACCAGACTTTCCATTTTTTTTATTAACACTATTAATTGGCTAGTTTTATATCTCATCTTAGCGACAAGACAATCTCACTACAAATTTGGAGGAAGGGTAAATTTTTTGATTTCCTTTGTCAATTTAAAGAAATCCATCGAAAAGGTGTCAAAATCTCTGAGACCATAATTAAGATTTCTTCCTCACCAACTTAACTTTGGGGAAACGTGTGTAGAGATTCAAAAGACAGGTCCTGGAGGAAGAAGGCCTGAAGGTTGGTTGCCAGTAAACACTGTATGGCAGGATAGGAAGTACCTCTATCTTGGCTCAGATGGGGTTTACTTTTTTGGAACCAGCTCATGCTTCTGATCCAGGTTCTCTCAGGGCTCGTCTCTGTTGGCCAGAAAAGTTTGCCAGCAGCTATTTATCCCGGAGCGCTTCAACCAGCGAGTTAACTCTGAGGCTTAGGCCAAGTTTGTTTCTATTGAAATTGTAGGCAATCAATGAAACAATCATGCTTTATGCTTAAAGAAGATTTTAGTGAGTAAAACAATGTGATTCATTTTCTACTAAGTTGGTTCAGGCTAGGTTAGTCTGAACGAACACAAGGCCCTCTCTTATGCTGTTTGGTGAATCAATCATCCCTCCATCTCTTTGTTACACTAAACATAACAGAGTTTTTTCTAATAAGCAAACATTTCAGAGTTTTTGCCAACTCTACTTAGAAAATATTCTCTAATATGTGTCCAGACCCTTTGTTCTGTTTTCCAGGGAACAGTCATTCGATAATATGTAAGAATATCACCATCTGCAGCCACTATATTACACAGGTGCCGAGATATCGTCAGTAGGGGAGGAAAAAGGCAACATTTATCATAAAGTCTGTAGTTAGAATAATGAAATCTTTAGATCTGTGCAGGATTAATTATTTTGAAGATCAGCTTCTATTTACTTTAATTTTTTAAATGTCAGAAATCCATACTTGATAGTCTGGATTATTGGGGTTTCTCCAAGTTTATTCTTTTTGGAAGTTTGAATTTACAGCATTTGAAGTCTTTTTAAAACTTCAGTTTCCAGCCAAAATGCAGAGTCAAAAGAAAGGAAAGGTACTTTTTTGGCTTTTATTAAAAAAATAAAACAGAGAGAGAATAAGCCAATATCTGAGTCCTGTTACACTGCAGTGTTAAAAGGTCTGTCAATGTCTGTCAGGGCAGTAGTGCTTGTAACCTCAGCATACACAGAGGGAAAACCTGTTCTAAAAAGTTTGAAAACTTCTGACCCATAGTTTTAGCTTAGAAATGATGGATCTGTCAGACCTACTGTGGGGTCTGTCTCACAAAGACCCACTCCAAGGTCCGAGGATATGACCTTCACATAACAGTCTCTGCTGAAAACAATTTAGAAATCTTATTTTGTCTTTTAGTGTCCACCTTTGTTCATTTTCAGGCAGAACCTTATTCAGGTATGCATTATTGACAAAAGGAATTATCTTGGAGAAAAACAAAAGTATTGTTGAAAGAAAAAGGTGCAGATTATACTAACAAATCAAAACTTGAACTATTTAGGGTCTTTTGGTTCAGTTTATACAAATCACAAATATGAGTAGATTAAGTTCTTCTTTGGGATGGCTGAACAAAGATCGGAAAAAAAAAACTCCTCGACCACAACACTGGTTACAGAAAAAAGTTGCTTTCACTGCTGTTGTGTCACCACTCTTTTTTTTTGGGAGAAAGTGGGAGTGTTAGTGGGCAGGAGCAGCATGGTGTACTTGGGTGCTTCCTGGAAGGGGCTGGTAATCACCATTATAATGGCCACAAATTTTCCCCGGACGGGGACTGACTGTTGCTAAGACAGCAGATTTTACAGAAATTGCATTATAAAGTTAGCCTGATAAGACTAAATGTGAGATTAAATGTGTAATTTAGTCTGGCCACGATGAATGAGACATTTGAAGATTGTTGATGAGAACAACCCGTTGTTTTTCAAACCATGTCTGTGCCTATTGGCCAATGCTCTGACAAATGAGTGCAACTGACTGTGACATAGTAAGCGTGACAGAAAGCTGGTGGGGGAGTGTAAACAAACAGGCTGTTGGTAAACAACGAATACTTCCTTCTTAAAATTGAATGAGCGTAGAGCCTCTTCCTGCTCACGTTTCAACGAAAACCC